CCCCCCTTCTGTACTTTTAACCTGGGATTAGCTCACGGGGATGTTAAAGCAGCAGAGATCTTCTTTCCGAGGAGTGTGGTTTTCCGCGAGGGGGGTGTCCGCCCTCGGAAGGGGGAGGGAGGGCGAAGGCTTTGCCCCGCCGGGATTTGCGCTTACGCCGTCGCTCTCTGCCTGGGCTTTTCCCTGGGGAAAAGCGTCTGTCCGCGGGAAGCAGCCTCGGTTTTCTGCGCCTCTGAGCAAAGGCCGTCGCCCTCGGCCTCGCGGGGGCCTCGGCTTGCGGCCCGCGAGAGACTTGGGGTTAAAACCGCTTATTTCAGTGAATCCCAAGAGCAACCTTAACTAGGCTCTAGCAACGTCAAGGGTTGGTATAGAAACACGTGGCCCAGCTGGCGAAGCGGGTGGTTTTGGAGGGATTTTCTTTAAGATCGGGACTCGCTAATGCTTTTTTTTTTTTTCCCCCCCTCCTTTTTTTTTTTGGCTGAAACCAGTTTTGCAGGATCGGGGCCCGCGTTACCTCTTTGCAAAGGTCAGGCCCGCTCAGCGCGGGAGGATTAGTTGTCACGCAGAAAGGTTAATGCCGGTTCTTTACGAGCTTAAAAACGAGGTCTTTTCAAACGGGAGCCCAGCCGATAAATTTTGAGTCTCATAAAGCACTCATGTAGCCTGGAAAATTGGAGCCTTGGAGCCGTGCAACATCTGCGTGAATTGTCACAGCATCCTCGGCTTCGAACAGAAGGGTGGTTTTTTCTTTTTTTTTTTTAAAAGAAAAGGGGAAAAAAAGAGAAAAGCCCCATAAATCTGGCTTATATATGCATAATGTTCATCTGGCCTGGAAAATTATGACATAGTCAAGGAAAATTATTTCTCTCTTGGACAAGTGAAAAAGATTATTTTAATTTAAAAAAAAAAGGGGGGGGGGGGGGCAGCACAGGGGGGGGCTAGCAGCTCCCAGGTACTGCAGAGCTGTCCTGGCCGTAGCAAGGTCATCAATCTCGAGCTTTTCCTCGTGCTTTGCTGTGGAAGAGCTCTGGAGCACGCGGAGAACAACTTTCTCATACGTGACCCTGTGTTTTTAATAAGCGTGAGGTGGTGAGCGTTCGACCTCAAAACGCGCGCGTCTTCTTCCGTCTTTAGCGCTTAGGAGCAGAACAGGTATTTGAAGAAGAAGTGGGTGTAGCGGCTTCAGTAAGTACAATTTGCTCCTCGTAAGGCAAGTTTAGCGTGCTGGGTAGGTGTGATGGTGCAGCCCCCGAGGCGTCCAGGCGATCTCCCAGAAGGAAACGGGGAGCAGGGGAGGCAAGACCTGAATTTCCAATCTAAAAGCCAGCGAAGAAAAGCCTTTTTTGTTTTTTTTTACAGAGGGAGTGGGAGAGAAAAAAAAAAAAAACGCCCTTCTCTGTACTTGCTAGAAATGGAGAAGAAAAAGGTTATAAGTCATATTTTCCTTTGCAAACTGATCTTGAACAGCAGATGTTGATGTAGATCTTATTGACTCACAAGCCCTCCCTGCTCTTTGAGTTATATTGTCTTCTCCCTGGGGTTTCTCCTGGGGTTTACTGAAGCAGTAGGTCAAATTTGACTCACCGGTAGGACTGACTAACCCCCTTGGCTTGATAAGATCACTCACCTCTCCCTGCTCTGCCTTTTTTTTTTTTTTAAATTAATTTATTTTTTCCCCACTTTGCAAGGATGTGAGGCTGAGGCGGTTCCTCCCATCCGACGAGTCTGTGCCCCGAAGGGGGCAGTTGCTCACCGCAAGACGCTCCGTGATGGAGGCAGGAACCCGGCCGTCGCCAGCTCCCCGAACGGGAGCGGTGATGTCATTGAACATCTGAGCCCGGGTCCTTGGGAATTTTTGCTTATTCCAAGTGGGGCTGCTTTGGTTTATGGTTTTCAAGCCAAAAAAAAAAAAAAGAAAGGAAAAAGCCGGGGCAGAGGAGGAGGAGGAGGAGGATGCGATTCTTGCAGGCCTTGCGCGCCGGTGGGAAGCGTGGTAGGAGCGAGCGAGCGTGGGCTCAGGCCCGCTTCGGGGAAGGTTGTTTATTGCCGCGGAGGGCTTGTTTAAACAGGCGCCGCGTCTCCGGGTGGCTGTGTTTGCGCGCGCCTTTAAATATTTAGTTGGTGCTGCCCGGCCGGGGGAAGAGGGTCGGCCGCCGCGGGGCGGGAACGGAGGGCGGCTGCTGGTCTGCTGGCGCCCCGGGAAGGAGGGACGCTTTACTCCTGCGGTCCTGCTGCCAGCTTTACCTCCAAACACCTTTCGTTGGAAGACACGAGGGAGGGTTATTTGACGCCGTTGCGGCTCCCGCGGGGTCGAGCTGGCGGATGGAGGGCTTCCCGGGGATGCTCGTGCGGGAAAGGAGCGCTGGCGGATGGGAAGGTGCTGGGCAGGTCGCTTGGGGCTTGAGAGCTGCCCTCTTCCCGAGCT